CTGACAAAATGTTAAAACACCCCAGCAAGTCATAATGATCTTTCTCCCTCGCTTTTACTTGTGCCTATTGTGTACAACAAAAATGTGTTTTCATTAAGACACAAGCTGATGTATGAAAGGTTTATTAGTAGCTATAAAATACAGAGAATGCTGTTTTCTGAAGGTCAGAATGGTATGGCAGGTACTTTTTCCACCCAAATACCAGCTATTATTTACTGTGGAGGATCAGACACTGGGCTGGGAAGACCTGGGGTGTTAACCCTGACTTTTTCTAGATCCTTTCAAATTCTGCTCTCAGCAGACCAGAGCTGCAATCCATCAATGTGATGTGAACTGACTTATCCAACTGTCCAGCCCATTCTGCTGCATCAAGCTGTCAAAACATGCATGGGCACAGATTCAGTACAAGGCAACTCATCAGCTCGGGTTCCTTTCCAGAACCATAAGTAGTTAGCTCTACTCTGTCACACTCTGATTAGGCTGAAGAAAATCAAGCCAGAAAAATCCTTACAGCAAGTCTAATTTGAAGCTGGTGGGACTGACAGACTCCGAAAAGCCTGCTGAGGGTTGCAGAAATGCTTTATATAGTATGAACCCTGCAAGCTCCAGGTCTGTGGAGGAAATAACTCCCTCTGGGTTAAGGAGAGGCTCCAGTTAATGAGACGAAGCTCCAGAGGTATTTGTAACCTTCAGGAAAGACCCCAAGAGTTGCCTCCCCGGAACCAGGCCAAGAACAGCCGGCAGGCTGCCAGCACAGCCTCCAGTTGGCCATTCTCAGTGTGGCTACTCCAGGACTACCATTTCACATTTTCCATTCAGTTTGGGAAGCTGGGATGGTGCTGCCTGTCTTATGGCACAGCTTATAAACAACTCCTTTTTTTTGCTAAGTGTCATGCACAGCTTGTTCTCCTGAGAGTTTTGTAAAAAAAAACTATAGTTTGGAGCCAAGAATCTTTTGCTCGTCATGTTTTTAGCATGCGATTTTCTGACGTTTATATATTTAGCTATTGGAAAATTTCTCTCTTTGCTGCCAGGCTCCCCATCTTCCTGCCAAGCATTTTTTCCCCATATTAAAAAAAGAAAAAAGTTTATCTTTGCTCCAATGTACAATTAATTACTAAGCTCAACGTAGTCAATGTTAAAGCAGCATGCATATCACATGAGATAACTATTCCCAAATTCCAGGCAAGACTCCAAGCAGCAAACGCAGACAGGTTTTCTTCTTTTTCTCATCAACAACCTTCTTAGGTCAAGGTTTAGGCACCGTGGTGGGAGCCGGAGCCTTCACGCTTGGCTCTGTATTTACCAGTTCTGATCTAAAGCTCCCCGTGCCCTAAATGAGAACTTCCTACATTACCTTGAGAAAGTCATCTTGTACACCTCACTTTTACCAGCATTTACTGGTAAATTTTGTATTTAACACAAGAAATTCCTATGCATGATACCTCAAAACAAGGCAGGAAGAGTATATTAGTAAAAAGGAGGATTTATCCCTGGCAGTAGTGATCTAGCATTCTTCCCTGGCAAACCAGTAATAGTTCCCCAAACCTTACTTGTAATTATAAAGCAGGAAGCCTTCAATGACCAATATATGGATATCTTTGGAGGTTGGCTCTTTAGAGCCAGGCATAACGTTCACCCCATGGGAACGGGCAAACTTCACCGGGTTCTCAATCCAGGCCCGCACCGTGCTCACCATTGCCTCCATATCCAATGAGTCCAACACTAGTTAGAAGAAAGGGGGTGGGTGGGAAAAAGGTACACAATCAAATACCACGAAGCACACAGGTTTGAGAGTATAATATAGAATGAACTTGTAAAATGGAAGTTACATAAAATTACTATTAAATCTTTTAATAATTAAAAAGAAATACTTAGAAAAAATATACATTACTGCATCCTATAGCGAACACTGCTCTTACCATCCCATTGTTTAAAGCCGTCTTCCCCGACTTCTATTTGATCTTGTGGCTGAAATATAGTGAGCAATAAAACATTGCTGCAAACTCAGCGTGATCAGTTACCTAAGATCCGACCACAACTTGGACACTACTGCAATACACAACAAAGCAAGTGTTCACTTACAACAATTACAGACCCTAAAACTTAAGTTCCCAACCTTTCACCAACCCCAAGAACTTTGAAAAGTTTTCTTGGCTCATTCAAGCCATTTTGGACAATGAGTTATGAGGTTAATATTTCAATGTGGTGTTATTAACCAAAATACTACAGGCCCTTGCTTATAAATCAACATATAAGAACTTAAAATGCAAACACAGTGTTAAGTTACTGCTAAAATTTACACATTCAAAAATAGCTATCTTAACTCCTATTGGCTCTAATAAAAATGCAAATCAGTGTAGCACAAATGTAAATGCTTTACTTGCACTAGCATTTGTGAGCTAAACACACTAGTGAGCAGTTCTAGATCTTTATGGAAAATCCCTCCTCTATTTTAAGGGCTCGTATCTGACCAAATTTGTGCACAAGGCTTCTGGCAAAGAAGTGCTTCCCAAATGAGCGCCCCATTTCATTTTGTGTGGCACGTGCTCCTGCAGTGGCAGGACAAACTGATGGCACAGCTGCCGATGCTGGAGCACCTCCTGTGTCGGGGACACACACCATAAAACCACTTCAAGTGTGTTGCCACATCTCTGAGACTTCCACCTATGGCAGGGACCAGAGATATTGTGCTTTCTTTTGAAACGGGAGCAGCCTACAGGGTTTCAATATCATGGTTCTGATGGGGACCACTTCCCTGCTCCAGTCCCACATCAGCAGAGGTCTCCTGCAGTCAAATTTAACAGTCTTTTAATTTGGTTTGATACAGAGCTGTTAAAGCTCCCCAAATCAACTTCCCTTCTGCATTTAAAGCACTGTAGTGCTGCTTAAATGCCCAAATATTATTCACAAGCAACACTCTTACATCAATAAAATAAAGAGGAAAGCCCAACATGGGAAAAAAAAAAGGTTTCTGCCGAGTACAGTAAAGAAGCTCCAACTTAGTTCAGTTGTTTGACATCAAGCTAAAGCTGTTGTTAAAACTAAAGGAAGCTTTTGCTGCCATTGTTCTGTGCTCGGCTGTGCCAAGCTCTGCTTCTGGAGAAACTGGTATTTGTAAAGATCAGTATTTCCTCATCTGCCCGAATTAACTACAAAAATCATGTATATATATAAAAATAAGTAAATCAGAAAATATGCTACTCCTAAGCTGTCAAAACTTACCTGAAGATCACACACAAGTATATGAAACCTACAGGGGGCCCTGCTACAGCTCTCACTACATACCCGAGCAGCAGCGGCGGGGGGAGGGAAGCTCAGCTTACCTTGAAGAAGTCATCCTGATGGACCACGCAGCAGTTGGGGAGCGCCTTGATGATTCGGTTGGTCAAGGTGGTCTTGCCACCGTTGGTGACGCTGTACGGAGAGG